TTCCAGAACAGCAAAGTCACATTAGTCATATTGATATGCAGTATTCCCATGTAGAGTCGATTAACATTTGATCAAGTCATAAGCCATTGGGGCTAGGGCGGGGCTTAGATAAGGGGTCAACATTTTTCATAGGAATACAGAGGGAGAAAAGTTTTTTTTTTTTTTTTTTTGAAAACAATCTTTTAAAGAACAGCAGTGCTTAGGTAACTCATGTCAACGTTGTGGCCTTGTATATGTTTATTATTACTTGAAAATGAATGTGGGTTATGTGAGGAATTAAAAAGAAATATTCAATACTCACCAAAAAAAAAAACTAACTTTAGTACATAAATAGTAAAAACTGATGGTTGTTGAGTTTCAAAAAAAATTATTATTTTAAAAAATCAAATGATTGAGAAAATTCTAGAGATATATACATGATGAAAATGGCTGTAGCGGAATGAAATGACGATGAAATACAGTATTTAATAAGAATTTTTTACGTAGGGACGAAAGTTGAAATCTAACCCTGTCAAATATGCAGTTCTGACAATTTAAAGATCCCGATATTGGCCCTGAAACTAAGTAATTTCAATGACAATAGTGTCCGTCTGTAATATTGCTGAGAAAGTAGTCCTAAAATGTCTGTTAATATTTAGTTAAATAGAAATGGTTTTCGATGTTATTATCATACATCTCATTAATTGGATCGTCTCAAAGAAGCTATAAAGCTAAGCATTCAGATTACTTTTATTATATTTTTACCAAGTCCGAATAGTTTGTTACATTTATTACAAAACTCGCGTTCCAGAATACTTGAGAATATAAAGTAGTTTTAGTAGGTAACTCATATGATAATTAGTTGGTGACGGCAGAACAACTTTTCTTGTAGAAAGCTGTTAAACGATGGAACTTATGTTATTTTGACTTGGAAGTAAATATGAAATTAGAATAGAAGGAAATATACTTGGTCATGGGGTACTTAGCTGACTATAAACTATTCTGTGAATAAAAAAAAGTTTAACATCAGAATCTTTCTGCGTACAATAATCTAAGACAATACCCATACAGTGTATATTGAAGAATTAAACGACTATATAGGGAATCGAATTTTCATAACAAAGACACAATTTAGTTTATATTACATCGTACCCATTGTAATCATCCGTTATGTACCTTTTGGCATATAACTTGTATGTTAAATTTCCAGCTCCATTCATTTAGAAATTTTAAATAAATTCAAGATTGATATGACTTTCAGTAACAATATTATATGAATCATTGATCTTACTGAGTGCATTTATGTGCATATTAAAAAGTATAGTAAAAGCATGAGATCGATATTCTTGCAGTTAGCAGCAAAATATCAATACAAGTTGATATGCACTTTAGCACGCTGGTAACGATCAGGCTATTGACAAAAAAGTTGATGCTATCAGGGTTTGAAATATATCTTTCAAAGTCAGCTTTTCGCAATTTCTATGGTCATTTTAATGAGCTTTTTCGAAAATACACAGTCAATCGTTTGGATGTGTTAGCATTATTTTTATACAAATCTATTTATTACTCCGTTTACTTGATCAATACTGCGGGCTCCTCCTATGAACCTGATCCAGCCTCTGGTATTTCCAGGCGTTTTGTTTTGTCCTGTTCATTATTGGCATTTTTTACTGAAATTATGACCTCGAAGGCTGTTCGTTATCTTCACCTTTTACAAAAAGTAGCTTTATGGGGGGGGGGGGATATTGATTGATAGTTGTAGAATAAGATACAAAATTGAAAGAAATTTATTAAAGTACAAAAAGGGGGCTTAGGGATGGGGGAAATGGGATAGATTCTTGGTAAATGACTTGCAAAGTGGAAACCTGCTGAAATTCAACATATTTAGTAAGTTTTATTAAGTTGAGCCAAAAACTACAATTTTATGATTTCAAAGATTAATTTTGGCAATTTCAAAGGATTCTGTTATATTGGTCTTAAATATACAGCTACTATCTTCACCATTAACAAATGTATGACTGAGAGACTAAAACAAGTCTATCTTTAATCAGTGAAATGAAATTTTTTCTCAAAAGTGTTACCATCAATCTAGCTAACTTGGCTATTTCGTAGAGACTGATTTAGTGTACAGATTATCATTCAAATTAATAGCCTCTTATCTATCACAAAAATAATTCACTTCTACATGATGTTATCTGTTGTTTGCCTGCTTGTCACAAAAAAAGCAAGCTCAGTAGCAGGAGGACTAAAGAACATAAAATAGTTTTTAACATTATTTCAAAACATACTATCGTTAGTAGTACATGTACTAGTTGAAATGAAGCAAAAGTAAGTAGATGGGTAAATCATTTAACTTTTCTTGTAGACACTTGTTCTTGCAAAAGACACTATGAATTTCATTTAATGGTTTTCTTGAGTCTTTGGAATTAAAAAGATGTCAAAATGACTTAGGTGTAGCAAATAAAGGGGATGGCTAAGCTCTGTAAACGTTCCTTTTTTTTTTAAATTTCCTTTTCATCTCTATGCCTATTTGCAGCAGCACTGTCAGCTACAACAAAATTACCCTGGGTAGGTAGCGGTATTTGAACTCCCCTTACAAAAAACCTGCTTATCTTTCCTCAATACAGTTTTAGCATAAAAGCTACCACTGATGGTCCTTCCTTTGGGGTGAAGGTACATGTATTACTTGACCTCTCGAGTAAAAAGAAAAACCCGTATAAGACCTATTTTAAGCCATGGCTTCTCTTAGCAATAATAAGACGACAGTTTCTTCTCTGATTCAGCATTCTATTAGTGACCTTCCATTTGGGCTATAAACAGTGCAACCATGTTTCGTCACCTATCACGCAGGTTTATCATACCTTTCTTTTTAAAATATTTATATTTTAATAGACCTTTGGCACATTTAAAGCGTGTTCTCCTGTAAGCATAGGTAAGGAAATAATGCCCTCATTTGACAGATATATTTTTTAGATTCATTTCCTTCGTTTGAACTTAATCAACATTGTGATGATGAAATGTTTAGTGTCTTACCACGTCTGCCATTTTCAGATATCATCGAAATTTTTGGTGTCCCTACAGATCTCGATCGACCAGTTAGACTGCGATCTTTTTTAAGTCCCCCTTTCCACTTTTGGATTTTTCTAATCCACCTGAACACCGTACTGCGTGAAAGATTAGTCTTTCCAGATATCAAAACCTTATCTTTATTGGGGTTGTTCAGCAATTGTTGTAATGAACCGCAGTCACAGGATGAAGCTGCACCTTTCAGTCAACTGAATGGTCACTGAACGGTCTGGAACAGTGACTGAATGGCAGAACTGCTATTCAGTCATATGCAATCTTTCAGTCACCTTTCAGTTTACTGAATGGCAGAGTTTCATCCTGTGAGTTTTCACAGAAGCTCTCGATTTTCTTTTTCTTGGCAGAGACCTTTGTTAAACAGTTTTTAGCTCGGTAATTTTAAAGGTGAATTTCTTTGCGGAGACAGTAGGAAAAAACATGCGGTTTTTCAGTGGTTAGGAGTTCTTAAATAGAACTTTTCTAGTGTGGAAAAAAATTTACTGCTTCAACATTTATTAAAATTATGATAAACCGTATGTTGCGTTACTTATTGAACGACCCTTGTATAATACATCCATTTGTTATGTTATATAACCCAGGCGCGGATCCAGGAATTGAAGTTAGGGGGCGCAGAAAGTAGGCAGGGGGTCTGGGGGCCGCCTTGAGGCCCCCAGGGGGGCCCTGGGGGCGAAGCCCCCGGAAGCTCCTGGATTCTAGAGATTTTGTAGGGTAAAAATGAGGTCTACCAAGTAGACATTTTTACATTTTCGTGGCGAAACTATGATTTACGCTAACTTTGACAGTTTTAGGGGGGCGCGCGCCGGGTGCGCCCCCCCCCTTAAATCCGCCACTGTAACTTTATGTGGAATTTCTAGCTCCAATCATTAAATAATTTAAAATAAAGTCTAGATAGATATGACATCCATTAGTAATCTCTAATGACTCATGGATTCCTGCATCTAATTTAATCTTTAAAATTTAAATCTTTAAAGATTTAAAAATTTTAATCTTTAGGGTGGCGTTTATGTGCACATTGCTAGTAGAATTGTAAGATAGATATCCATCCAGGTAGCTGTAAACGATGCATATGAGCTGAAATGCACTTTAAATGTTGGAAACACTAATAAAGGGTTTATTGTCATAAGAGCTAAAATGAATAAAAGATAAACAGGCGATATTTCTATTAAGCGATGATGCATATTGGCAGCTAAATCAATTATCGCCAAACGCTTTGTCACAAAAAAGCAACTTTGTATTATATTGCATGGGATTTCACATCAATTTATACAATTTTCCATGTATAGAACAAGATTTATTGCATCATTACTATTATTAATTGAGCTGTCAAGTGCTTTGTGATTTAAAAATTACATTAACTTTTTTTTTCAATTTTCTACTGTTTGCTTTATAGGCAAGTATGATTAGCAAACATCTGCTCCTAAGATATAAAATACACAGGTCCAAATATCATTTTCTGTTTTTATCATGTGTACACATGGTGCCCCACCTATCAGTATAGAAAAACCCCAATGCGTCTTTGACTGACAAAATAAATGGTTGCTATTGTCAAAACAAGCTGTATAAAGGCGAAAAATATCTATAAGTCTATAGACGGTATTCACTTGTTAACTATTAATATATAGATCGATCGAAATCGACAGATACACTGAAACTATAGTTCTGAACACCTTATGACGGTAAGTCTGGATTTCTTTAGAACTTAACATCTAAATTTACAAATACAAAAAGCTCCAGCATCGATTTTTATTATTTTCATCCCCGTTGATTTAAAATGTCCTATTTACAATTCATATTTTAATCTTCTTCCGTAAGAACAATTTATGGCAGATAAATGTTATCTTTCCTCGTTGATGCTTTGTAATTACATTCAATCAGCGGGATAGTTCCCACAATGATGTTCATTAAACTTAATATTCCACAGACGCCCTCTTCCTCTTCTGTACCTAGCTGATCAGTCGTTATAGGCGAAGGTCTTGCCTCTGTTTTATTTTGTCAAGTAATTAGCATTGAAATCTGAGATAATTCTTTGTATTCTAAGTCGATATTGATTTTGCAGGTTCTTTTTTAACCCTGTCGACAAGAATAACAATGCGTTAGAGGGCACGTACCAAGCTTTCTTTCTTCACTGGCAAAACCAAGGAGATCGTATCGCGTGCACAAGCAAAAACGATCCTGTCGTGAAACACGGAGATTACATAATGTTTTGCTTGATTTTCTTTTTCAAAGGGATATTTTGAGTCACTGGGAAAAGGTAACTATTTTAGCTGAATTTCATTACCAATATGGCTTGAGTATTTTATTACTGCAAGGAAAACTCTTTTAATCAAGATACCAAGACCATGTAGGATTTTTTTTGTTTGTTTTATTAAAAGATGTTTGTGCTCTGACTCTTGCCGAAAGGATTAAAAAGGTTACGTTGCCTTCTTCATTACAAGGTTATCAAAGATTGGATCTCGAGCAGAAATTGATTTTTTTTCTTCCTAGGTACGTACAGACTTATTCTGGTTTTAAGATAACTGCCATTTTAAATCTTTAGGCTTCTTGATAGAGAATAATACAGGTTATATAATGAATTGACTTTTAATCGTTCATTCCATACTGAAAAACCAGACAAGAAACCTAGCACAGATAAGGTCGGTTTATAAGTATATTTTATTATATTTTAATTTAAATGTGAATGTTTTTTTAATAATGTTCTTGCTGTTACTTTATATACTTAGTGTAATAACTGTTATGACATATCGTTAAATCTAACGTTCAATATTTGATAAAATGATATCATTGATGTTTTCAGTCCTTAATTAACATTTGAGAAACGTGTATCCTTCTGTATATCATTTACCAATTTTGAAGTTATGATCTGAATCAACATGCTTATAACTTAATACAAAATACTAGCCTTGATTCCCAATTTATTTTATATGAAGTTTTAAAAAAGGTATGTTAACCAATACAGAACTTAACGAGGTCAAAGATCATGTTTTCGGTCAATGACAATAGCAATATAAGAAAACTCTCAGCCTAGTTTTCTTCAATTGAGTTATTTTTTTTTTTTTGAAAGAATAAAATCTAGTAATGTCGTGGTTAATGCCAAGGTCATCTCCGATGGCAGTGCATATTATTTGGTTTACCTCAGTATGGCTTGGATGTTTGTTTGTTCAACGTCCCTTCGAGAATTTTTCACTCATACTGAGACGCCACCATTTGCCGGTGGAGGGCTGCATATTTAGCCCTGTACTTGGCACTTACGGCCTTTGAGCAGTGAGGATCTTTTTTGTGCCAGCACCTACTGCGACACGGGACCTCTTAGTTTATACGGTATCATCCGCTCTCCACGCCCCGCAGTTGGATTTGAACCCGCGACTCCTTACTCCGAGACTCTAGAACAGACGCTCCATAATTACTGCGCCACGAAGGCGACTGTATGGCTTTGAGACCAATACAATAAAAACCAAAGCTAAAAATGCTACGACTTCAGGAAAGAATGTTTAAAAGACATAGAATGGAAGAAGGACAATTTCAATCCATCGCACAGTTTTGTTATGCATTAATATATTCTGGTCAATAATTGGGAAATCCTTAATAAAAGATTCTCAAACACTGGGCATTCTCTTCTTGAGCCAAGTGTCTCCTGGCTAACTAGTTCAAATCCTCAGTTTTTTTTCCATTTAACAGTGTGTTACTCTTCAGACTTCAGGGGGAAAAGAAAATTGTGTCCTCAGTACTGAAATGAAATAGCTTAATTAAAATAATAATAAATTTCGTTGATGAAAATTCTATGTGTTTTAAAAGATATAGCCCTTTCGCTTTGTACGTATGAAGTGGGCAAATATCAGTTACATGTACTTCATTCTCATTTCGAAGTCTACTGAAGAAAGTTAAATGTTAAGTTTGCTTTCTACTAAAAAAATACAGTATTTATTTTCATTTTATGTGTAAAGTTATGAAGAATACAATAATTATTCTTCTTTCTCAGAAACTTGTATATATAATAATCATTTGTTTGTAATACAATGTACACTCCGCCGAGATAAACATGAAGCAGTCTGAATGCATATTGAAATCTAATAAAATCGTGTCAGAGGATGGAAAAAAAGAAATAACGATGATTTTTGCACAATAATTTCTTAACCGTGAAGGTATTACGTGTAAGGTGCCAAAATTTCAATAATATAATCTTAAAAAATTAATGCTGAAAAGAGTTGCTTTTTACAAAGGTTATTAAAATGTCGACTATATAAACAATCAATCAAGTTATACATGTACTTCCTGTAAAAAAGTATTTAACTGAAATATTTTGCAATCACCTTAATTTGGCTCTTATTTGGAAAAACGTTATTGCTCTTTAACTGTGTTGAACCATTAAGCTTCGTTGTCCGATTCCTTCTAGACTAGGTTTAATGATATCATCTTTCCAAGTTTATTATCTTCCCTTTCGTATAAAACAGCTTTGTTAGAGATTTCTTCTTAAAACTAAGCAAGCATCTGAACAGGACGGTCATTATTCCAATTTGCATAAAATCAACAAACCTTTTTTATATTTGTTTCTCGCAATAAACCACGTTATCAGACTGATTGAAACAAGATGACTCAAAACTAACGAATGCGTTGTCGTCAATTTGTTTAAACAACGAAAACATCAGTGCATAGAGCAAGTTAACAAATCTCTCTTTATACGTAAAGTACGGTCTCTTGTCACCGTTTTGAATCATTGCTGCATACAATTTATTCCACTCCATGAATATTTAATGATAAAACGTAAGAATATTCTTCTCCCTGATTATTAAAGATAAAAATTTAAAGACAAAATTAAGTCTAGTAAATTGCAAAATAGAAAATCTATTAAAACAGAATAAATATCTTTCATCGCCATCATTCAGAAATAACAGAAAATTATGGGAAGATAAATACTACAAAGACCGATGAACAGGTTCTAAATTTTATTACAGTAATAAAAATAATTTTAATACTCTTATTCTGTTCATTGTGTATTTAAACCGACCCAAGTAAATTGCTTTTTTTCTATCTAAGCTATGCCATTTATACTGCTTCTTGAACATTTTTCTTCCTTGATTCTAAAGCTTATCTTACAATAGTGTGTAATTTTGTTTCAAAATGCATTTACTCTTGCGGTGATTAGATTTCCTGATTTGATTCAGAAATTATATTTCTTCCTTTTCAGAACACATCAAAATTGAACCGGGATCATTACAAACCAAGATCGTAATCAGAGAACTGTAGTCTCATCAGAGAGTTTTCAATTAATTAGCGAAGTGCTATGGCTTAACTTCTATTCCACGCGTGTTTTATGCTTTATTTCACTTTAAATAAATAAATTTAAAAGGATCGTTCCTGTTTCTGGGGAAGTTAATTATCGACATAAATAATCATTTTACGTGGTAAAGGGACAAAATTAAACATTTTAATTAAGAATTCTGGTAATTAATCGGATCTAGGTTTCAATAAAACACAGAGACTGTTGATATATTAATCTCAATATTACATTTAAAGACCGTTGTTACCTTGTTTTTGGACTAATTATTCATTGATTATACGTAGGTGTCTGAAACGAAAAACGTCTAACTTAATACATGCAAGCCAATCTTGCACGTATTTCGACAAAACCAATACGCCAGAAAAAATATTTTGCACCAGTGGACGTCATTACTATCGTATTAATGAGTTTCCTAAAGTCTAGCATTTTGTTTGCTTTTAAGATTGTTATTGCACTCTGAGATATGCATTCTTGACACTTTTATCTGCTAAAGCTTAAAAATGCCACCCATTCTTATATTGCTTGTGATATAAGGTGCTTTCTGAAATATTTTGTGAATGGTTACTTTCCCTCGACGTTAATTTTTTCCCCCCAACTTCAACACATTCTGTTAATTATAAGTTCCCATCTGACAAATTCAATAAATTTATATACATCTGTAATCACTGTCTATCTGGGGACCTCACTCTAGTGTATAATGTATGACTGACTGCATATTGGTTTTAAAGCACATATCAATATTTCTTTTATAAAAGATAATTTTAAATTCACAATTTTTACCTGTTTGAAAAATGGTAGTCGGTTTTCGACAAGATAAAAGATCCGCTTGATCTGTGCCAAACATTTATTCAGGCCTACAGTGTAATGTTACCTGCCAGGTTTTATAAATGGTTCTATATCTCTGGCGCGTAATATGCGGAAGTGGACGTTCCCACTCATGTATCCTGGAGCGACAAAACATTACCAAAGTCCTCAGAAAACATCTCCTTCCTTTAGCAGTTTATCGATCGAATGCTCTTGTTAAATCGGTCCGTCAAGTAGAATAAACGTATTGAATGCTTAATGCTGGTTTATGTCAACTCATAAAACACGCTCACAGTGCTAGTGCAAGTAATTTCTGAAATATTGACTTGGGTTTAATGGATCTCTTTAACATTGCTGACCATGTATACGGTAATTATTAATTATCCTTAATAATTGTCATTATTTTATTAGCTTGTAAAGAAGTTATATCAAACTGCAAAAACATTGGCATAACCTGGTGTCATTTTCCTATATTCGTTTGGTAATTTTATTTATCTCATTAAATCTCTTTGCGTCATCAGTAATCATATTTCACTACTTCAGTCTATACATGTTTTAAACAATGCATTCCTTCGGTTCTGGGGATTAAAACCATATGGGTTCATCAATACTATTTCTAAATACTGTTGAAAGTACAGTTTCGAACGAACGAGCTCAAAGATGATTTATGGATATGAGCTAGTTGTCTTCCATTTGAACGTTATAGTTTGGTGAGTAAATGTACAAGTGAATTTGTCGAAAGTTATATTAAATGTTTAAAGTCTTAATTATTTTTATCATATTTCTAATCAAGACCTTTTGCAGCGGTGTGTCGCAAACAGGTTCTCACTAATGGCAACAAATTCACTACTAGGTGTCAATTTTGGTATGTTGCTTAGTATCATTACTTATATATCACCGATACTTATTATTAAAAGTATTGATTTTTTGAATATGAAACGGATTGCGATATAGAAAGAACATGTTGATGCACCTTCACTCATACTGATATAAATGGTCATGTTTTACATCTAACGGATTAGCTTGTGTTATATGATGTTTGTTTGTTTTGACATCCATTCGAGAATTTTTCTCTCATGTTGAGACGCCACCAATAGGTGATGGAAGACTGCAAATTTAGGCCTACTCGCGACACAATGGCCATTGAGCAGTGAGAGCAGGGCCTTCTGTGATTTAGGACCTCGGTTCACTCGCTCTGGTCTGAAGGACAACATTCTCAACGTTCCGCAATCTCAAGCTCTCATTTCTACTTGTTACTAAAACTAAATGCTTCCTACTCGTACTTGACTGTACACAGTTAGATCGGCAGAATCTTTTGGGGATTGGTGTTTGTTTGATTTCACTTTATAAGTGTTAGAAGTTACATGTACTTAAAAAATCGTTTCTCTGCTTGTTTCGTGATTGGCTAAAGGTAAATAAGCAATATATTGCTATAAGGACCTGAGACAATGTGTGAATTTATTCAGTAATGCAATAATTTCATTCATCAAGACGACATTATTTCATCATGTTCATATTCATATTCACAGCAAACAAAAATGCCATACCGAACTGCGTATAAATTCTCCGCGATCATTATAAAGCGATACTGACTTTGTTGTACTTCAGCTATTAAACTTTGGATTTGTTCAAGAGAGGCTGCACCTGTATGCAATTAAAGTACATTAAACAAATTTATATCACTTATAGATACAGTGTATTAGATTTTCTATAAAAACACAAACAAAATTGTACGAAAATAAATTGCTTTGGGTAAATGGGCCTAGCAAGTTTCCTTTATTTTTAAACTCTTCTTTATTTTGAAAAAATACAAGCAAAAATGTTTTGAAACTTAAGCTAACAGAACAAGAAGTCTTTTTTCTGATATTGTTGACTTTTATAGGTGAACTATCAATTAATGAAATGTCAAATGATGACTCTTATTTTGCAATATTAAACAACGTAAAATACCCTCTAAAAATCTACATGTATACAAGCAAAAGTGTTTTTGAAACTTTAGCTAATAGAAATTTCTATAGCTAAACTATCAAAAATACCCTGTTAAAAATCTATATATTTTCATTCCAAAGATCTTTATAAAAGTATTGTGATTCAATTACTTCTTGAGAAGTGAGTAGCTTTGCATGTAAGATGGATTTCATGCGGCGGACTTAAGTATAAATCACACAGCTTTACCTGATTAAATCAATAGAGGGCGTACAAGTTCCATCACAATGACATTAGACCAATGCAACCTTATTATTTATTGTTTTTTCCCATCCTCTTTCAGGAAAGCTATTTGCAAACTTAAATACGACTGTTACATCTCAAACAGTTGTTTAGGGAATTATCCCATCACTCTGGGATCAATAAATGTCGGAAAAAGATATTTATCTCAAGCATAATTTTTCTATATTTTTCAGAATAGTGCTAACGTGTATACGATGAATGTGAAGTATTTTATCGTTGGATAATTTCGAAACGGGGAGTGCTGACGTAACATATATATACGGTTTCAAAGGACATATATATTTCTGTAATTTGACGATATTAGAAAATTTGGATGTAAAACACGAAACCTTACGCCTTAAAGTGTATTGATTTTACCACTGTTAAAACAAAAAGTTCAAATAAGACCACCGATGGTCAGAAGAGCTTGCCAAACACAGGCTCTCAAGCTATGTGAAATTAAAACCACACAATATCGATAAATTATTGAATCTCATAATAGCCTCGTCAGTCGAGATTTCATAGAGGCATTGATATATTCTGAGAATAATCTAAGGACAAAGGATAATTAACGAGGAAGTGAAAAAAATTCTTTGAGGAATAATATTGTGTTTTTCTACGAGTTATCACCAGTACCAAACTTCTATCATAGTATAATTACCATGGCATCGAAAATAAATGTGTCGAAACAAGTGAAGAAACGTAATTTGAATGTAGCTGACTGCTTCAGTGACGAGGAGGAAGATTTTCATGGTATGAACAGACGTGGATCGAATGTGTCCTTATCTAGAGTGCGGTCCTGCCCTCAGCTGCTAGAAGAACAAGATGGTCGCCAGACAAAACAATCCTTCGAGAACATTGTTGATGATAATGTTAATACTCCTATGATCCAGGATTGTCGGTCTCCTCGTTCTCCAATGGTTGCTCAAGGATTTCAGTTCGAGCCGACATGCGTGACCCCTGGGTCAGCCACACCAACGCCACCATCTTCTCCCGGAAGTCAAAGAAGTTCTTTGTCTCAAAAAGAAACGCCATCTACCCCTAAACAGACCAATTCACCTATTACGACGCCCAAAATCAGGAGAGGGAGTTATTCCTGGAGGGCTAACATAAGTCGAGGTTCTTCTGTTGATTCTCATGATGCCGACGACCAAGACGTTCCGAATGTGAAAATAGATATACAAATTCCATTAAGTAGTGAAAATTTACAAAAACATGATCGACTTTCGATGACACAACAGCACAACTTAAACAATGACGATAACAAATATTACGATGCTTTACAGGCTGGACTTGCCTGTGACAAGAATGTTCGCCCTAAATCTTCTTCCCCTCAAGCTCAAGGGGAAGGTGAACTCCAAAGCAAATGTGAAATGTGGCTACAAACTCTGAATATTTCACAGGGAGATAAAATCAAATCTCGGAGTCATATACAACTTCCACCATTATAATTTTTCCCGATTGTCAGGGATGTTTCAGATATTCTCCGGTGAAATGCCAAAAAATAAAGCTATTCGAATAAAGGTGTCATAAAATGACAACATCAAAGTAGTGAATGTGCATTTAAATAAAAGATGTGTTTAAATTTTCATATATTAAAGTGTTTACACAATTAATATGTTTGTTCTTTTTAAAACGTTTATTTTTATCGATTCTTTATGTAATCTTTATTGTGCAGTAATCAGTATTCAAAAAACGTAGAAAAAAAGCTCATTATATGGGCATACAAAAGGTTAATTAATTAGTTATAGAGATCAAATATTTTTGCAAAAATATGCCTAAGATGATGGGTGAACAAGGCGTGCATGCAGAATGCCTATGGCTTCAGATATGTAAAAATCATATTGAATTTGTGAATTAAGTGTTTATAGTAACGTTGAAATTATGATAAACAAAACTTTTCTAAAGAAAAGTTTCCCGGCAAAAATTAGTCTGTTTTTTTTTTTAAATAATGAAGTATTCGTGGGGTTCGAATCTAGCAATAAAAATCCTGAGTATCATTTTCCATTGAGACTTTTGTGCTAACAAGTACGTCTGATGAAAAATGGCATTCAAATCATGTTTGTGATATGACCCTTGACTAAACTGACTTAAAGTAATTCTTGGAAGATGCGAATGATGTGTCATAAAAGTATATTTTTAAGGTATAGTGGGTCTTTGCTCCATGTTTTTGTAGACCAAAAATGTATATTTTTACGCAAACTTTGAGGATAAACTTTCAAAAAAAAGTAGCAAAAACCCTCTAATATCGAAAAATTATGTTATAGTATGAGAAAACGATCATTTTTGTTCTGTTTAGTGTGTGTGTGCTATTTCATGGGCAAATAACTTCAATTTTTGTGAGATTTTTGCAAATTGTGGAGATTTTACATAAATTCTACTTTAATGTTAGATGAAATATTAAAGAAAATTTTGTTATAATTGAGATTAAATTTTTCACCTTCATGTTTGTCGCTTTATAGGCACTTCGCTCGCCTTGTTCGCCCATCTTCTTTAGATTTAATAGTAGGTCTTTTTCTGATTTGATTTAGATCCCTGTACAACAGAAAGCATAGTAGTGATTTTTATTAAAGAAATCAATGAGGAAACGCATTAAGGTACTGTAACTCAGGTTCTGAATATCAGCAGTTAAGTAATGGAAAATGCTCATAAATATGTTCCAGAATTCACAAAGTAATATGTATATATACTCATGCTATTTCTTCGAAGTTTATCATAATAGTTAATCACATTTTATAGGGAAAATTATTAAATGTCAAATATATTTTCAGGAGACCTAAAGAAAAACACCAATTCCGCAATTTTTAATTGAAAAATTGACCAAAGTAGTATATTTTAGGAGAGAAAAATAACGGTATCCAGGCATTAGGGGAAAAAATTGCATGTTTTTTTTTTTTTTAAAATATGTACGCGGTATTTTAGTTCTTCCATTAACTTCAGTTGTTACATGGATATATCACATTATGTAAAACAATGTGAAAAGATTTTCATGCTAGTAAACATCTAAGGCAAAATCAAACAATTCTCTATCTCTCTTGTACTTTTATGACGTGCAAATATACATATCTAGTTTTTAAAAGAACGTTTCTTAGACTTCAAAAAACCTTGAATCATATAAAGATGCATAAAAGAAAAGTTGTTAGTCGAAAAATTCCATTTCAAACTTCAATTTGAGGCTTAATCAATGAAATAATAATTGTAAGAGTTATTGTAGACAAATGCAGATCTCTGATCATCAGTTTTCCATTATGGTCGATTTCGTTTTGAATATCTTTTAAAAGATAAAGGTGGAAACTTTCTTATTAAGTCACCACGTAAATACAGAGTTTATTAAGAAATTGTGAATATATAAGACGAATAATGAACATCAACAAAATGTAAAGTGCGAGCAAATTTATTCAAGAATCTTGAGAATGCAGTGCTTGAGAATTCCCCACATCAGCTAGCATATAAGAATGCCTCATAACGATTTTATCTTTTGTAATGAGGGAATCACAAATAAAAATACATATAACAAAATACATGTAAAATGTCAAATTAAAACATCATGTTAGTCATAGAGAATGATTCAAAATCGTTGATAAAGTCGAGTGTAAATAGCTTTAGAAAGGAGAATACAACGTCAACGCTAATTCTCGGACGTGTAGGAATTATTCCAGAGATGCAATCTATTCCATGTTACGATCTATTTTTCTGCTCATGCTGAAAGTACACTTTCATTCACAAGATTTTCGATTTTGTTTTATGACAGGCCTGCATGAGTTCGTCCCTTAGAAAATATTATCTAACAATTATTCAGAATCAAAATTTTTATGGACAGATACCGAGTTGAGTGCCAAGTCAAAGATGTGTGAAAAAAGAATATAACAGTCGATAACCTTGTAAATTTCACCATGGTAAATTGGTGCTCTAAATGGGGCAATGTATTTTCAAAGCATTCTTGAAATTTCTATCTATACGGAATTAACAGATTGTTTTTGAAGATGCGAATTTCATGAACATCAAATTGATGTAACAATCACATGTACCTCAAAGTTGGTAATCGGAACAGTTAATCGTGAATTGGTCTGCACGCAGCGAACAATTTGATAGAGAAAAAAAATATTGCCTACTGTTATTATTTTGGATCTTAGAAAGCTTACATTATATTAATTCCTATAATTACCAAAATTTACACGGCAGATCTCACGGGTTAAAGGAAAATTAAGTTAAGCAAAATGTAGTTTGACGATAAATATCTTATACAGCCCAAATGAGTGGCATCGTTCAATATATTTATCTATGTATATATATAAAAAAAATCCTCTCCCACTCTATACAGAACAGAACAAATAATATAATTTATTTCTAATTTAGAGTCTAAAACAGACAAATGTTTAATTATTACAATAATCAGTAAAAAAATTCAATAGAGAGAACAGGATATATAACAAACAAATATCTTTTGACTTAATGAGTTTACATAATTTGCAATGTGTTAAAAATTATAATTACTATAACATACGCGTCTGTCGGGTAAGAAAGTTATTTTTAGATATACATTTACATTAATCTTTTTTATTTGCTTAAATCACGTTGTCAAAAACTACAGACCACATCACTCCAAAGAATAAAAACAAGGGATAACTGTTAAAAACAATTTCTACAGATCTAGAGAGTGCATGCATGTTTCTTTGCAATAGTCCTATATACAGAAAACGAGCGGACAAAATAAACGGTAAATGTGTCGTAAAATATTCTCGTGGGAATAGAACGACGTGTTAATTATACCTATCTTATTTATATTTAATACAGTTCGATACAAAAATGACACGCTGTACAATCTTGGTAGATATTGATTTAATTTAGGATTAATCAAAGGAACAAATTGATTCTATACACGGAAAATTGTCTGTCTGATATTCAAGTCAGTCTTAGAGTTACTGATTTTGTCTGAGTATGGGCAATATAAGTACCCTCCTGTTCCCTCTGGGGAAGGGGTTTTTTTCCTCAAGTTTTTCATTCATGAACACACGCAGAATTTAAAATAACAATTGATCTGTAATGATAAAAAAAGGTGATGATAACGAACAGGGATCAAACTCATAAACGAATCGTTAACAGGTCAATATACACGGACCACTGCAAACATCAGAGATGGAATCAGGTGCCGAGAAGTTGAAAAAGGACGCATGATAGGTTGTATTTGAAAACAAGATTATTATAACGACCAAAGAATTTGTGAAATACTGGATTTCAACGAGGTAGTAAACGATCCTTATAACATTAATTCATTTGTCAGCAGTCTGCATCGATTTAAAAATAGATCGTACTCAGAACATGCTCTTGAGTATCAAATCAAATTGGAGACATGGGGATATGTACAGGTGATTGTGGAATATTACTACATAAATAGGGAGAAGTTGACGATTGCAAAGGTGAAGTAATTCCGTTTGTCATACAGTTTAGTTGTTAGTTGTCCTACAACTTCTATAGTCTTTTCAATACCCAAGTATGTAACAGCTGTGGCAGACTCTATGGGTTTTTTTCGTACTCACTGGGATATATCGAAGGAATAAAAATTACTATTGTTAACTGATAATCAAAAGCATTGTCGATACATAGAAATGTTGTATGGAAAGCCATAGAAAGAGTTTTCTTCATCTTATGTAGAAGTTGTTAGATAAATTCTACTTCATCTGAATGCAACAAAAAAGGAACAGAATATTGGTACACATAGATATTCCAACAGATTGTTGAAAGTCACTGGTCTCGAAAGACTACATCAATATTGTCAATTAACTTTAAGATGTACATTGTACATTAATAATTGAAACTAGCTGTTTTTCACACTCTTTTTCATTGTACACTTCAATTAACTTCTAGTAAATATGTTGAGTTGCAGTCTGAAAAGCTCAGCTCATTATCTTTGTCAGTCTAAACTGAGCGTGAATATAAATTTTCTATTCACAGAGTCTTGTTGAATTCCTTTCCAAACAAAAATATATCTTACCAACTAAGACTCAAATTTATCAGGTCAAACCGTTTGGTGCAATGCAAGGAATGTTCAAAAACCCACAAAAATATAATATGAAATAGAATAACATAATTTGTACCCTATTTGTACATGAACAATGACAGAGTAAGTGATTGAAATTTTTAGCTCACCTGAGCTGAAAGCTCAAGTGAGCTTTTCTGATCACCCGTTGTCCGTTGTCCGTCGTCCGTCCGTCCGTCTGTCCGTCTGTCCGTCTGTAAACTTTTCACATTTTCAACTTCTTCTCAACAACCACTGGGCCAATTTTAACCAAACTTGGTACAAAGTACCCTTGGGTGAAGGGGAGTTTAAATTGTTAAAATAAAGGGCCAAGTCCCCTTACAAGGGGAGATAATCAAGAAAAGACAAAAATAGGGTGGGGTCATTAAAAAATCTTCTTCTCAAGAACCACTGGGCCAGAAAAGCTGAAACTTATGTGGAAGCATCCTGGGGTAGTTTAGATTCTAAATTGTTAAAATCATGACCCCCGGGGGTAGGGTGGGGCCACAATAGGAAATCCAAGTTTTACATTGAAATATATAGGAAAAATCTTTTAAAATCTTCTTCTCAAGAACCACTGAGCCAGAAAAGCTGAAACTT